CACACAAGGCCAGACCTTGCCTATGCTTTGAGTATTGTCAACTAGTAGATGCATTATCCTGGAGAGCCATATATGAATGCAGTTATGTGCATTTTGAGGTATCTGAAGTTTGCTCCTGGAAAAGGAATTTTATTTACAAAAAATGTAGATTGTCAAAGTGTGGATGCATATACTGATGCTGACTAGGCTGGAGCAGTAGACGATTAACAATCTACTTCAGGATGTTTCACCTTTGTTGGTGGTAATCTCGTTACATGGACAAGCAAGAAACAAAATGTTGTTGCATGTTCAAGCGCATAGGTTGAATTTAGAGGTATGGCACTTGGAATATGTGAAGCATTATGGCTAAAACTTCTCTTGGGGGATTTGGGCTATTCGCCTACGCAACCAGTCCAACTCTACTCTAACAATAAAGCGATATGTGATATTGCTCATAATCCGGTTCAATATGATCATACAAAGCATGTGGAAGTAGACAGATTCTTCATTAAGGAAAAATTGGATGAGAAAATTGTGGAGTTGCCTAAGATTTCCTCAGAAGACTAGTTAGTCAATATCCTTACTAAAGCAATGTCCAGTCGAGCGTTCTCAAAGTTTTTGGGCAAGTTAGGCATGTGTGACATCTATGAACCAATTTGAGGAGGAGTGTAGAGATTTTAGGAATTATCTCTTGTGATTGTTTCCTATTATTGGAGATACTCTTATTCTACCTGTAGATTAAGAAATAGCTTGATTGTAGCTTGATTATAGAATAGCTCAATTATAGGACTTACTACTTACTGGTGATCCATCTATATAAATAAGTGATTGTACAATGTATTGAACTAAGATGAATAAAAATATTCTTTTCAAAGTCTGATTTGCAAGTAGTAATATACCTTTTTTTGCGTATTTAAGTGTATGATTTGATAGTATGACTGAAACATTGGATTGCATTTGGTGTTGAAAAAATGATTATTGGATTACAGGTTCATAATATGGGATGATGGTGATGATGGAATACAAGTGCATTTCACTAATGTCCAAGACTTGGTTCAACAAAGCTCAATCCATTAAAATGTATATGCATCGCATCCCCCAATTTAAACATTTTGATAATGTTGTCTTATAGCTTTTCAGTACTCGACAAGGGGGGGATGTGTTTACATATTTAATGTGGACTTGTAATTTTTCGTGTACATCTATCAACGATGTCAGGTTCGATGTAGGTAATCAATGCATATGCTGTTATGCTCATGGACTCGTAAAAAGGGCAGACGAAAGAACCAAATATGTGGACATATCATACGTGTATATTAGCGTGTGTTCGGTACGTATTTGTAATTTGAAACACATCATATCCCCTTCCCCAAAATGGTGAACTGCACCCATTAATGTTTATTTGATATGTATTACTGTTGAACACGTGTAGGACATGATGAGGAACGTGAGTGTGCCGTCACGTACGAGGTATCTCAACGTACACACCAAAGCCACACGAGGACACTGGTACACCATTTCCTAATCTACCATGTGAACCATTGCGTTGTCATGGTGCATAATGTCGAAATTGAGACATGGAAGCATTATAACTCCATGAGGTAGAGATGAGGAATGCGAGATGACCACTACAACAAGGCACTTGAAGTGGTAAGCACGCGAATGGTACTGGGTCTTAATTTAAATTGTATTAGTTTTGCTTATTAACTTGACGACAGGTGGACATACTTTTTACAGTTACTGTCCTTAAGTTAATTATGTTAATGCTCCTATGACTATGTTGTGTTTTATGTCGCTAAATAGATGAATGTATTGATTTGTTAGAAACAATAGGTGGTTGACCACCACACGAGCTTCGTGAAACCAAGGTTGGCAACCAACAATGTTCAGATTGAAGACTTTGACGGCATACTTATGCCGGTTGTGGACTACCCGTAGCAGGGCCCAGATTCAAAAGTGTATCTAATGTTATGTTGTGAGATCACTTGTGTTACATTGAAATTAGTGCGACATTCGTCGTGTCATTTTTTTTCCTTGCAGGATAGACTGTGCAATTTTTATCTGTTTCATTACCCGCCAATACGTACATGAAGTCGAAGTTGACAACACAATGGATGGACTTACTCCAACTATCCTCCGTGAGGCGATGATGAAAATGTTCTCGAATGACCCAAAAAAAGGATTGCACAAGAGGACAACATTAGATGTTTGACAGACCCCTGATCCCACCATCCCCAAAAAATTTGCCTAGGTTTTTTGTCTGTTTCGCAAACCGTATATTTATTTATTTTTGATGTAATTGAATATTATGGTGGACAGATTTTTTTGAAAACTTTTTGGCTGTTTAAAAAGTTTAGTAGTTGTTTGATTTTGGGCAGATGTTGTTATGTCAGGATAAATGATTATGTTATAAAGCGAATAATAAAAATATTATTTTTGATATATGACAAACATAAGTAGGTGTTTTTTTTTTTCACTTTATTCTTCATTTCATAAGCAAATGTTTAAAAAAAGGTAATTATAAGCAGGTATTTTGTTCTTAATCATGCACAAAATCTCTATTTGTTTTTGTATGTTGTTCTTATTTTCATCAAACTTGGATTCTTAAGGAAGTAAATGGGTATGTAGAGGACATGAGCAGGATGCACCAATTCAAAGATAATTGTCCTCATTGTATGCAGCTACCAATAATAATGTAGATTGGTCCCCAAATTGATTAACATTTGGTAATTACATTGTACTGAGGCTAAAGATAATATTATTTTTGGTGTATGACCATCTAGGAATATATGCCTTTTAGATTTTCTACAAGTCCATGGTATTATACTTTTATGTTAGATGAACATTTTCATTATGTTGGTATGCTTAATTGTTATTTGATCTCCAACGAACATTGTCGATTGGTGGAATTTTATTTACCATAACGGAGATAATATGATGTTTTGGTTATTTCTAGTCGTATTTTGTGAACGGATGATGTGAAGGTAACGTGAATTCGAAAGGCACCCATAGTGTATGTTGTAATGGTCGTTATAGGACACGGTGATACAAAGGAATTCCATATATGGTAGTATGCACATTTACGCATTCCAGCAGGACTAAAATGGAATAACTTGAATATTAAACGGCACCTCATTGTTAAAACATAAACAGACATGCTAAAATTGAATGGCACCTCATTGTTCGCAACCCACCCCCCTGAAAGAATTTGAACAGAATGATGTAACAAACAAATCAATTTGCCAAAATGAACATTAACTCTTTGTTCGCAACCCACACTCGATATGTTTTTGATGTGACGTACAACGACTGGGATGTTTGGTAACTTAAACTAACAGCAAAGCAAATACATGTTGACATATACTAAGAATGTACCACAAACTAGTATGTCAAAACACTTACATGTGGCACACAAAAAAACTATTTTTTTTTTCACATATGCGGCGAAACTAATGATTTAATGATCTAGTAAAGACAATGAGGAATTCTAAAAAAATTGAAAAGCCTGCGAAATTGACCTTTACTTAATAACGTGTAATTCTCAAATTGAGCAACCCATAATAAGAATAAGTATAATGTCATAAACTTCTATTAGACTAAACACAAACGATGTCATTAAATGTGAAAAAAATGTGAACATAAATGGCAGAGTAAAATATGTGATGTTCAGTGATAGAAAATCGCGATCATTCTGTCAACTGTACGTGTCGATGCATTACTTCAATTCCTTAGATGTTTTCCTGTTATGGTTTCCGATTTTGCCACATTGGCCGCAATGAATGCGTAGCATAACCTCACCTTTTTTATGGAATCTTCTTCCGTGTGGGCCTTTTGGGTGGTCGCTTAACAATAGGTGGTGCAATTAGGTAATCTGCCCTATTGAACTTGGGTTTTCCCACCATAGGAATTGGGTGAATAGCCCCAGAATACGCTACCCTAAACTCCTTAACATGGTAGAACTGGTCGACGTAGTCGTATATGTTTCTGCCATTATTCCGAAATGCAATAACCGTGTGGGAACATAGAAAACCATTCAATTGCCACTGGAAATGCAAACATGTAGGCATGTTGATATCGACCGACATAGATGGGTGCGAGAGAACCTCAAACACATTCTCGTTGACTTGACTAACAATCCACAACTTGCTATTTTTAAACACGGAGTCCAAATTTTTTTCCATCTTCGGGCAAAGCTCTCTAACCTACATGCAACATTTAGCTTTATGCTTCACCATTTGCTCCATGATTTGACCCCTAATTGCATCCACCAACTAAGTAATGGGGAGATGACGAGCTTTTCGAATCCAATTGTTGAACGACTCGGCTACATTAGACAACATCTCACCATACCTGCACTCATTGTGAAAGGAAATAATTACCGATATGAGTGTTAGATGTTATTTATTCATAAATGTTGACATTTTAATGTCAGTAAACGATACCTGAAATACGCATTGGCCCAATGTTTTGGATGCAAATCTTTTAAGAAATTTCCAACCACCGTTGGGCTACATTGTTTCAATATCTTGATATTCTAGTTAAAAGATGGTACTGTAAGCGCATAAGCCCATTCTTGTAACTTGCACATTAACCCAATTTTTTGGTCCACATTCACATATTTCATCTGGTCTCGTAAATTCATTTCAAGATGTAACAAACAAAATGTGTGATGTGTCAACAAAAAAACAGTAGGAATTGACTGCAAGAGGCCAACATTACAATTGGATAAATGTCGACGTCCTGCTACGGCCACAATTTTTGATCACTAATGCAAGAACCACTCCCAGTTAGATGCATTTTTAGAATCAACGATAGCAAAAGGACCGGGAACAAACCTGCGGAAATTGCCTGTTAGAAAATGTACATGAAGCACTGGTATTGATTAACCCAATATGACTCATATGTTGTTGTATGTGAATTGTGACAGTATGGTGAAATTGGAAAAAAGGGCAATAACACTTAGAAAAATGCAAACCCAAACCTTGGTTACCATCCTTAGTTGTTGCCGCGAGAAAATTCCCCTTGAACCTCACCTTCAAAACGTACTATCAAGAAGCAAAAGCAGACGACAATGGTTGAACCCATCTATGCATGCTTGAAAAGAAATAAAATATCTTACGAACCTGCCAATTTGTTGATTGAATTCCAAATTGATGTAACTAGTTGTTCTCGATAATTGCATTGCCATACCACCTGAGTTGGTTGAACGATATTGCATAATCTCCATATATTTCACCTCTCACTTTCTCCACCCCCAACCAGGCAACCTGGTAACTAATGTCCAACTCATAATCGTTTTTCATATCGAACAACAAGTCCATCAGGTGGGTGAGCGGCTATCCATGTACACGATTTGCAATGACATCAAACACCAAATCTAAACCTGTACGCAGGCTCCTATACATACGTACAGCAGCACCACATGAATGTAAGCTGTTAAACCTCTTCAAACAAAACAACCCATTCGACGTCGCCACCCTTGTGTGAACCAACCACGAACAACCAGTTGACGTTGCAAACTTACACACAATTGTGATCCATACGGAGTCATTCTTAATGTACTTAAACTGATACTCATATTCGACAGAATACTTGCAAAGTACCGTCCAAAATTCGTGTGTGCTGCCCAAAAAAGATTGGCCAATATGTCTAATACCATAAGCCAATCCAGCGGACAAAAACATCTTTGATTTATGAAGACAATATAACAGCAACAAATCCGCCCTGTCTTCTATGTCATACATCAGCCCCTTACTGTTATCACAATCACTAACATTGGAAGAATCTGCTAGCCCACATCTAACGCCTAGACTGTCACTCTACGTTTGAATAAGCACATCGATATGATCAATGCCGAACGACTTCTCAAGGGTCAACATGTTCTGAACATCGCCGACACAAACAACCTTAAACTTGTTGTATCCAGGAATGTTGAACAAAAATACACCTACCCAGGTACCAAACAATCAAACTTCCTATACACACCATCAACCAACTATGCAAATGTGAATGCTTGATTAAGATGAACAACCGCATTGGTTTGTCCGTAAGTACACAACAACAACACTACAAACTCCATACCTATAATTAAAAAACAAAAAAACCATTGTGTTACACGACCCGAATGACAACCATTTGCTCTATGATATGACACAACGCATCCCCCACATAGAAAATAAAATAAAATAAACGCCAGAAAAATAGCAACGTAACATTCACAATCAGACTGGTCACCATGGGCTCCATATGATGACACAACACATCCCCCAATAGACAACAGAATAACATCAAAACAAATAGCAATGTAACATTAACAACGTCACTACCAGAATCTGACACACCCACCGAAATGAAACCTCAAACAAACACAATGAATCAAAAACAACCAACATGTAAACTCACCTTAAAGAATTCATCCAGCATTTCAGCAAAACCTTACCTAGAAGCAATAACAACAAATAAGCAGCAGTCACCAATCGCTTCAGCCAAAACAGAGCTCCCATATCAACCCAACCACACCAACGTAGTAACACCAAAAATCCCAGAAATCACTCCCTCAAAATCCCCTCAAAGAATAGAAACTTAATAGCATATCTTACCCACGCACGCCTCACATCAAAAAACAAATCAAAACAAAACCAAATACAAAAGCAAACATGTAACTCCAAAACCCCAAAATCAAATAAATACAACATACCAAAAATAAATAGGACCAAACGATTTAAAAGAAAATTTTTAGGACCAAGCGGAACGACACTTCTCCAAATGGAATTTATGAGTAATTTTCTCCAAAAAAAAAAAAAAATCTCAGATAAATTTTGAGTTTTTAATTTTGTTAATTTAAACCTTAATTTTTTTATTTGTTTTTAATTTGAACTATATGCATATTTTTGTTAGGTAAAATTAAAGGAAAAAAAATATTTTAGTTACTAAACTCAGTAAAAAAAAATAATATTTTAAACATTTTTCATATACCTATATTGAATATAATGATTAAAATACCATGTTTTCGTCAATTTTAGTCAACAGAAATAGGTAAATGATTTAGATTAAAAATAAATTACAAAATTCAGGTTTAAATTGATAAAATTAAAAATTCAAGGTTTATTTCGTTATATGATCAAATCTTAAATTGTTTTTTTTTTTAAAAATTTTCCCAAATAATTTATCAATATTTATTATGACTATTTTATCAAATTTATTATGGATTTTGCTAAAATTTCCCAGGGCATGAGAAATTTTATAAAGTTATACATGTATGAAATTAAATATAATAAAAAATTATAATATTTTAAAATTATTTTGACATAAGCTATCAAGGTAGATATTAAGAACATCTCTGATGGAAAAGTAAAAAAAATGTGTTAAAGTGTATAATAATGGCAAAAGTGAGTCACATTAAGCTTATAAATGTATGATTAAATTTTAGTATGTGTGTTCTACAATAAACAAATTAGCAACACATCAACTAAATTATCTGGCCCACCAACTCATTAAACAATTCATTAATTAGTGTTGACACTAACAAATCTTATAAAAATTAATGTCAACAGTTTATCAAAAATTAATGCCAACACTAGCAAAGCAAAGCAAATCAAATCAAATCAAATAAAAAATTAGCGTTAACACTATTGTCTGTCTACACTAGGAAATCTTATAAAAAATTATGTCAACACTAAAACCAACACTAGCAAAGCTTATTAAAAATTAGTATCAACACTATTATTAACACTAGCAAAACAAATATAAGATTAGTATCGACACTAGTGTTAAGTGGCGATACTAGTAAACGTTATCAAAAATTAGTATCGACACTTGCAAATCTTATAAAAAAAAATTAATGCCAACACTAGAAAAACTTATCAAAAATGAGTATTAACACTACCAAATCTTATTAAAAAAAAATAGTGTCGGCATTAGAAAAACTTGTCAAAAATTAGTATTGACACTAACAAATCTTATCAAAAATTAGTGTCAACACTACCAAAACTTATCAACACTTGTTAGGAAATTTATAAAACTCAATTATCTATTCAACCATACAACCTCATCATTCTCTTATGAAAAAAACTAGAAATCCCCTAGATGTTGATTTGTGATTATGTAGGCAATCTTGAAAGCATTAACATCACAAACTTCTCTGCATGGTTCGATTCGGGTTTGGATTCGCATCTAATAAACTCATAACCTCACTGAAATAAAAGTGCGAAAATAAATATATCTGAAAGGAGTTTTGTCAAACGGGATTGTCAAGAATAAAAACCTAACATCTTAAATTTAGTCGAGTTGTTATTTATTAAAGGGGCTGAGCACACAAATAGTAAAGAAATCAATATTTGGTTGCTTTTTATCATGGACGAGGACTACCCAGCAGCGACGGTAATAAAAAAAAATTTAAAAAAAAATTCCAAAGTTGTGGAGCAAAGCACTGAAGCAGGACTAAAATAGGGGTAATGATTTTTTAACAAGCAATGATAAAGTTTGAAATAGAGTTTTGATTAAGTTTTGAAAAATTAAGGCAGTGTTTGGAGCAGTTTTGGAAATATGATTTCAGTGTATTTTTCAATGCTTTGTCTGGTTTAAATTTTCAAAAATTGATTTCAATGTCAAATTCCAAAACTCATTTCAGATCATGTTTGGAAAGTAGACAATTTTTTGAATTTTGAATTTTGAATTTTGAAAAGAGCGGATTGAATCTACCCAATCCTCCTCCTGAACATCTAGCTAGTCATCCGGCCAATTGACCGGAATAATATTCTTTTTTTTTTTTTTTGATGGACAAGGGGCACCTGTTATGAAAAAAAAAAAAAAAAAGAAAAAGAAAATGAGAGTTTCTTCTTGATTTTTTTTTTAACAAAAAATAATACATATTATTTTATATTTTGCATAAAAAATATTTTCAAAATTTTTTAAATAAAAAATTATTTTTATCAATAATTATTTTTTTTGAATTGAATTTTAAAAAAAATTTGGTTATAAACTTTAAATAGAATTTTAAATTGCGTTTTTGATTATGAGTTATGAGTTTTTAAATCAAACAACTTTTCTAATTTAAAAATTCATTTCAAAAATTTAAAACTCAATTCAAATATCTTTTCAAAACTCATAACCAAACAATTTTTTTTTTAAAAATCATAATTTAAAAACTTACAAACTCAAAATACGACTCCACACTCAAATCATAATTTTAAAATCCTACCAAACGCTACATAATATGTTAATCTTTTGAACCCACAAAGGTTGGCTAAATGGCTGGCTATGACTTCTTTAACGGCGGTGTTGACAGCTCCATTGCATGAGATTTCTTTTTTTTTTTTTTTTGTTGGACAATTGGCACCTGTTATATTGATAAAAAAAAAAAAATAAAAAGAAAATGAGAGTTTCTTTTTGATTTTTTTTTAACAAAAAATAATACATATTATTTTATATTTTGCATAAAAAATATTTTCAAAATTTTTTAAATAAAAAATTATTTTTATCAATAATTATTTTTTTTGAATTAAATTTAAAAAAAAATTTGGTTATAAACTTTAATTAGAATTTTAAATTGCGTTTTTGATTATGAATTATGAGTTTTTAAATCAAACAACTTTTCTAATTTAAAAATTCATTTCAAAAATTTAAAACTCATAACCAAACAAATTTTTTTTTTAAAATCATAATTTAAAAACTTACAAACTCAAAATACGACTCCACACTCAAATCATAATTCTAAAACCCTACCAAATGCTACATAATATGTTAATCTCTTGAACCCACAAAGGTTGGCTAAATGGCTGGCTATGACTTGTTTAACGGCGGTGTTGACAGCTCCATTGCATGAGATAAATGCAATAAATATTCACTAACTTTTCATAAATTGCTTCAAAACTCTAGCCAAATTGTAAAAAAATACAAAATAAAAAAATGATGTAATATTTCTTTGATTTGCCATCATTGAAAATACCAATTTTGAAAGGATAAACTAATTTGAGCAAATGAAGCTTCAACTCAAAAACCAATTTTTGATGAAAATCTACAGAGTAAACCTGAGAACATTTGGAAGTCCCCAAAAAGATTTTCTTTTGTTCTTTCCAAAGATATATGTCTTGCACAACAATGGTTCATTCACACACAGACCCCATGCAGAACCAAAAAAAAAAAAGAATGATGGGCATGCCAACATTGAAGCAACTTTGAAGGCATGGAATAAGATAGATAATTTCATAACAAAAATTCCATCACCAATTTTAAAAATCTAAACTGACAATAAATTCATAAGAAGAAAATTCTTATAAGCAATCTCTCATCAAAAATATGACAAAGAGAATCTCCAAGAACCATTTGAGAGATCATAATTTGCTGAAAAACAGTTTAAAATAAAAAAAAAAAATCTTGTGATGCCATGCCTTTTAAGCTGAGTGGTTCAAAGCTTCAGTGGGTAAAGACTAAGAAAACCAAGAATATACTATTTCTACCAAGGAAATTAGCTACATTTAGAATCATTGCAAATGCAAAAGGTCTGAATTACTCCCATGCACCCACCAGTTTAGTATCAATACTTGTTCTCCTATTTGTGTAGAAACCCGGGAAAGTTTATTTACAAGACAGATCTGTTGAAGGATGTTGCCATAAAGCCTTTATTAACATCAACCCGGAAACATCAATTTCACCTCTCTTACCAGCACAAAATAGATGTATGTTTTCAGGCGGTAGCTGCATCTATATTTATTATTTAACGATGTATCAAATAAGCATTTGCATTGAACATGGCAATCTCCTGGGGGAGAATGAAGAAGAATAGCATATTTGCAATTATAAATATACAGGAGCTTAGTATGAAGTCCACTAGCTCTAAGTCAAAAGGGTGACTAATAAAGATCACTTCTTTTTTTTTTTTTTTTTTTTTTTTTTTTTTTTTTTGTTGTTGTTGTTGTTGTTGTTGTTAAGAAGCCAGCAAAGTTACCTTTAAGCTAACCGTAATATTATTGCGTTACAAAACCTCTACTACGAAGGGAACTCTCGCAATTAAACACATATTGGCTAGACAATCAATTGAAATCTAAAGGGCTTTTATTCATCTCTAGAACATACCTAATGTAATACTAAACCCTGATGGTGAATTTGCAGCTAAATGTGCAAATTTTCTTCCTAGCATAATGAAATATTTGTGCAGTTGATAAACCACCAATGCATGCCCTTCAATTACAGCATAGAATGTCAGTAAGTATCAACAGAAGGATATGGAAATACTACAGTATATGAATTGCTTAGAAGAAAAAGGAACAGTCGTAAATTCATCAGATTATATGAATTGAAGTTTATTCTCTCTGTTCTTACCTGCAGAGAGAGAGGGGGGGAGAGAGAGAAATCAAATTTCTAAATACATAGACTTGATTCTTATTATGTCACTTGTTTCCTTTTTTAATTTTTCTTTTTCTAATCTTTTTCCTTGTAATGTTGGTGTTGTTCAAAGATGCAGTTTCTATAGCCTTGCAACTCCAGATCACCATAATGGCTATTGATAATCTACTTGGGTTAATTCAAAGCATTTTTCAAGCTCTAATATTTCAATTTGATCTTCAAGAAGCTCCCAGGAATAGAACTTAAAAACTACCAATCATTAAGATGTATGTACATGTTACATGTTTATGAGCACAAGGGGCATCCAAATGCTAACAATCGACTAGCATACATGAGTCTTATTGTTCCAAATGAATGCACTGTAAGGACAATGAGAAATCCAAAATGAACATAGAATGAAAACAATAATAAAACAAGACTCTTACTATAGTTTCAAATATATATCTATGTACACATACATATAGACTTAGGAGTTCAAACAAATAGATGAAACAAAGTTTTTCCGAGTTTATGATGGATGGCTTCAGCTGATAAATTGAGGCATTCATGGTATATTTGTCTTCTCAAAATTCATTGAATTTGACGATAAAAATGAATTTTATATAACATTATGATTACAAGCAAAATAGTTTTAAAAAAATGTTTTCCGTTAACACAGTAGTGTCATAACTCATTTCAAAAATAACAAGGACAGATTTTGAAATTGTCAGAAACCTCAAGGGAGGTCTGTGTATGTGTAATTTACTCAAATAAAAATAATAATAATTTTATGCTTGTGGTGCTGAAAAAGGCTGCTACCCTTGGGATGTAATGATGAGGAATTAAGCTTAGACTTTTGCCTTGTATGAGGAAAGGAAACAAACAGCAAAAATCAATCTCCTGCAGTTGCAGGTACTTCACAAATTCCTTGATTCCACAAGAGATCCTTCCCAGTCCAAGATGATACAGCCTTTAAAACTCTATCAAGGAATTGAATAATCTCCAAAATCAGCACCTGGGTCCTTTAACAAAGTCCTGCACCATTATGAGAATGAGGGTGCAAATTAAAACTAGATCGATGAGTCCAAACCTGATCCTTAAGGGCCCATTTGCTTTAGCTTTGTAGAGCATGCTCATGCTCTAGTTGATGAAGTCAATTACCAGTACATGACCTTCAATTGGAGCAAAAACATGAATGAACTTCTGACAGTCATCACAATCAACATGAGAATATATGTGCCAATAAATACAATAGAATAATATAACAATAATATGTATTTGAATAGCTTAGAAGAAAAGGAACAATTGTCAATTCAACAGGAATTTGCTCTTGCCATGAATTATAACAGCAACGAGGTATGTGAGGGGGGTTTCTTAGCACTGCGGCGGAGATATGAACCTTCAGAAGAGGGGAATCAAAAATTTTGACTGGGTGAAAGAATTATGAGGCATAATGCACAAGATACATAAATGGAAATTATAAAACAACAATAGGCATTCAAACAAGGTGAGAATTGTCTCACCCACTACCAGGAAGAGTAGCAACTTCTGAATGGATTTATTCATTATTATTATTATTATTATTTTTATTTTATTTTTTTCCCTTCTATTTGACAATGACAATCTCATCTATGATGTAAATCCTCTCAAGCTTTGTATAAATCTCATAGAGCACAAAGACCAACAATGATTATAATTTGTACCCAATTTAGCATACTACAACAGTTATGCCTCTTCCAACACCACATTCGAAGATATTAAGGCCTTGTTTGGGAACATACTAATTTAGTAACTTTTTGGCTATTTGGCTAAAATATGAGCTAAAAAAAACTAATATGTTTGGGATGACTTTTTGGCTTTTTACGAAAAGATGTGCAAAAAGTAGAGAGAAAAGAGAATCTTTGACTTTTTTGTATGGGTTGTTGGCTTTTTGGCTAATTTAGTAACTTTTTGACTAAAAAAGAGGGTTCCCAAACAAGGTCATAATCTTGTACAACTACTAAGACCATAAATTCTCCTTTAGAGAACTAGTTGATGACCACATAGCTAAAAAAGAAATCTCCAAAAGTACCATTGGCTGTCAATGGTCCTAAATCTCTAAGAAATGACCACTTGTACATTATTCAGTGGGGACTGAAAAAGAATCTACTTGAATTTGTTACATGTGAATTAAAATATTGCAGAGAGAGAGAGAGAGAGGTAACAAATAGTCTACAAGAATCTACAACATGTGAAAACATGTTGCAAAGTCATGTAGCAACAGGTCCAAAATAGTTGATGGAGAAGTATAAGCCCATGTCAATATATAACCAAGAAAAAAAAAAGAAAAAAGAAAGGAGTTTCACCTAATAATATATATTTTAATGTGTGTAGCTTTACCTTCACATCTTAAGAAATTTACTCAATATCATGCATTCCATGACTATCTTTTGACATGAACTTCTTTATCACTTCTCGAAGAGCAGGATCTTGTCCTTTAGTTGAGAGCATATCTACGATCAAGGAACAATTGGAAGCATTTGCTGAAAAACCCCTTTGAACCATTTCCTCAACAAGTATTAATGCCTCATACCACTTGTGTTGTCCAATAAATCCTCGGATAATAGTGTTGTAAGTGACATCACTTGGCAAACAACCATTATGTTCCATTTTAACAAACAACTCTTGAGCTTCATGCAGTAGGCCTTCTTCACAAAGACCTTGTATCATCATAGTGTATGTCTTAACATCAGGATCTAAGCCCTTGGAAGAAAGGTTACTGAAAAGAGCCCTTGCAGTTTCAATCTTTTTATCCTTGCAGAATGCATCAATGAGGATATTATACTTAACAATATCAAGATGTAAACCGTTGCTTTCCATCATGTGGAATAATGACAATGCTTCAGAAATATTCCCATTTTTGCACAACCCATCCAATAAGATACCATAAGTTTGAGAATTTGGAATTATTCCTACAGCTTGCATCTCATTAAAAAGTTCTTGAGCAGCTCCACATCTACTTGATCGAAACAAACCCTGTAGCATAGCATTGAAGGTTTCGGTGTTAGGTTGCAAACCCCTTCGAGGCAGTTCTTGAAAGAGATGCATAGCCTCATCTATTTTCATTTTCTTGCAATATCCATTGATTAGAATGTTATAGCTAAAAACATTAGGGTGAAGGCCCCTCTCCACCATGGTATTGAACACTCTCATTACTTCCTCGATGTGGCCTTGCAAACAATATCCATCCATTAGAGTACTGTATGTGACTACATCAGGATCCAGACCTCTTTGTATCATGACTTCAAGTATCCCCTCTGCCTCTTTCATCTTCCCTTCCTTGGTACATGCATCTAGCAACACACTATACGTATGAACATCCGGAGCAATACCACTATCCAACATTTCTATAAACATTCCGGTAGCCTCCTTCCACCGGCCAAAATTACACAGGCCATGAATCAAAGAGGTATAAGTGACAACATCTTGACAAATGCCTTGTTCATTCATCTTAGAAAAGAGTTTCATAGCATCATCCACCATTCTATCCTTGCAAAGACTGTCAATGACCGTGTTATACACTACAGTGTCAGGTTTACAGCTTCCCTCTTCCATTATCCTAAGCAAACTAACAGCCCTAATAGTGTTCCCCGTTCTGCAGAGCCCATTAACAATGGTTCCATACATAACCACGTCGGGTTCAATTTCTCTCATTCTCATCAATTTCTTAAATAACTCTACAGCTTCAGGGGTTTTATCATCCAAAATAAGTCCATTTAACAGAGTGTTGAAGGTAGTTACATTGGGTGTATAACCACGTTTGAAGAGGGTACCCAAAAGAGAGAACCCAAAATCGACTTGATTCAGGCGGCAAAAACAGTTAATAGCAATGTTGAAGGTGTAGAAATTGTCCTGAATGCCTAGAAAATGCAATTTCCCAATAAGAAGAAGAGCGATGTCATAATGACCCAATTTCAAAAGAGGACCTAAAGCTTTGTTGAAATGAGAAATGGGGGGCAAAGGTCGCATTTGGAGCATGAAATTGAAGGAATTTACAGCATCTTGCAGATCATTGTGCCGTGAATTGCATCGGTGCGTTGGTAAAGTTTTAGGGTTTTGGGTAGTAGTATAGAGAGAACGAAACAGAACAAATAAGAATGAAGAGGGATGATTAATTAGAGAGGGAAATATTGTACCTTTTTGACAATTATGATCAACAATTCTTCTTGTTCTTCGTCCAATAATGAAAGTAACAGAAACTCTTCTTGACATCTTCTTCAAGCTGTTTGTGTGAGTGAGAGAGAAGGAAAGAGAGACTGAAGTGTGAGAGTGAGAGAGAGAGAGAGAGAGAGGAGTTGTAGACAATATTTATAAATTTTTCACAAAAAAAAAAATTGAAGAAATATCATTTTGTGTCTCAAATTTTTACATTTTTTTTAATTTAATCTCAGACATTATATAATATCAATTTATCTCTTAAACTTTTAAAATTTTGATGGATTTAGCAGGACTTTTTTCAAATTAAGTCAAAATAGTAATTTATTTCTCAAACTAGGCCTAGTTTTGACGGAATTCTCAAACTAAGCTAAAGCGCTATTACAAACCGCGCTTTCACCGTTTTTGTGGCCGTTCCGCGAAAAATTTATAAAATCGTAAAAGCGTGATTACAAACTACGCTTTTAATTAAGAAAGTGTGGTTATAAACCACGCATTTAAGGAATTTTGATTTATACATAAAGCGTTGTTAGAAATCACGCTTTTAAGTAAAATTTATTTTTTTTCAAAAAACGTGGTTGCGAACCACGCTTTTACGGTTGCTATTAGCGTTGTTAGGCCACAATGTAAAAACGTCACGTTTTCAATAAAAAATCAAAACTAGCACTTACACTCTTCTTTCTCACACTCACTCGCTCTCTCTCTTTCTCTCTGACACACACACCCACAACACTCACACACTCACATCAAATATATATAATTTTTAATATATATAAATTTTATTTTATAAAATTGACACCAATTTATAAAATTGAGACTAATATTAAATATATAATAATAATAATTTATAATAGCAAATAATAATCAACTATATAAAATGATTTTTTTTTACTTTAATTCTTAAAATTTATTTATTTTATTTAGGTAAATTACACTGACACCCCCTGAGATTTATATTTATTACAGTTCCCCCCTCATCTTTTGAAAATTACATCTCTCCCCTGAGGTTTAAAATTTCATTAGAGATCCCCCCAGCAATTTAATTTTTTAAAAAACCAATTTGCCCTCACTGGGTAAATTACATTGACACCCCTCACATTTTAGAAATTACAATCTCCTCCCTAAGGTTTAAAGTAGCATTACCAAATGTCCCCTCGATTAGTACTAGTTGGAAAAAAAAAATCATCGAAAAAAAATAAAATTAATTGGAAAAAAAAATTATTTGGAAAAAAAAAAGTTATTTGAAAAAAAAGTTAATTGAAAAAAAATTTGTTAGTAAAATTTTTAAATTTTTGTTTAAAAACTAGCATAAACTCATTTTTTGAATTTACGTTTTTTCCTCAAATTTAAAAATTCAGACAACCATTTATAAATTAAAAAAATTATCAAACAAGTTTTTATGATAGTTTTTTAAATTTTTGTAAATATAAATTGAAAACTAAAAACAAAATGGTTACCAAACATACCTCAGATGGTAAAAATATTGTAAAATTAACAAATAATTAAATAAGTTACCAAAGTAAGAAATGACTTATCAAAATATTTTTAGGCTATGTATGGTTTGATTTTTAGATTTTTTTTTTTAAAAAATTAAAAATTAATTTGGTTAAGAAATAAAAAATAATTATCATTTAAGGGTAAAAAATAATTATCATTTTAACTTTTGGACAGATTATATACATATGTATGGTTGTTTCAATTTAATTTGTAAAAAATTATTTCTAACCACTCGAAAGATAAAAATTATATAAAAATGATTTATATTTACAAAAATTATAAAAATTATATAGTTGATTATTATTTGCTATTATAAATTATTATATATATATTTAATATTGGTCTCAATTTTATAAAATAAAATTTATATATATTAAAAATTATGAGTGTGTGTGTGAGAGAGAGGGAGAGTGTCAGTGAGTGTAAGAAAGAAGAGTCTGAGTACTGGTTTTGGTTTTTTATTGAAAACATGTTTTGAAAACACGTTTTTACATTGTGACCTAACAATGCTAATAGCAACAATAAAAGCATGGTTCGTAATCACGTTTTCTAAAAAAAAAACAAATTTTACTTAAAAACATGATTCCTAACAACGCTTTATGTATAAATCAAATTTCTTTAAATGCGTGGTTTATAACCACGCTTTCTTAATTAAAAGCGTGGTTTGTAACCACGCTTTTACGATTTTACAATTTTTTCGCGGGAGAGCCACAAAAACGGTGAAAGCGTGATTTGTAATAGCGTTTTAGCTTAGTTTGGAAATTCCGTCCAAACTAGGCCTAGTTTTGAGAAATAGGTTGCAATTTTGCCTTAACTTGGGAAAAGCTCCCGATTTAGTGTCATCACATTCTGTCTATAATCAAATGAAACTTGATGACGTAGCACAAAATCTTATTTGAAACTTCATTTTACTCCCAAACAATACCTTAAAAATTAATTAGCCCCCCAAATATTAAAAAATTATTTTAAATATTCAATAAATAATTTTTATCTCAATAATAAAAATATTAAATTTTAAATAATATATACTTTGCAAAAAAATAATAAAAAATATAAAAATCATCATTTAGAATTATCTTGATACTACGAAGCATAAGTACTTCAACAAACATGTTGTACATGTACCAGATACTTATCGACGTATGGTATTTCTACGTACATTCCGAGAACATAAAATACATTCTTAAATTAAATTTTTTTTCTTAATTTTTGGCGTACCCAGACATACTTAGTACATACCCAAGACAAGCCGTGTCGTACCTTAGTCGAATCAATATTTTTTTCTACTATAAAGATAAAATTCCTTTTATTGGGCTTCTTTTTCATTTTTAGTTTTATCAATTAAATTCTTAATTCCCTAATTTATTTTTAATCTAAATGATTTATATATTTTCATCAAGTAAAATCGCAAGAAAAAGAAAATTTTATTTATCAAACTCAATGTAAGTATACAAAGCCTCCGTTTGGGAAGTGGGTTGGCTTTTTGGCTTTTTTGGTTATTTTAACCTGGTTAAAAAGCTTGGTTTGGGAAGGGTTTTTTGGTTTTTTGGCTTTTTTGACTTTTTTTGTGAGAGAAGAGTGTAATGATTATAGGTTGAATGTGATGTTTTGTTTTTTGTGGCTAAAATAGCCTATTTTGTCTTTTATAGCTAAAATAGCCAAAAAAATCCCAAACTCTTCTTGCCAAACGAACCTAAAAAATATTTAAAGTCCAAACTCAACAACCACTAATCACATACTATCCCATAATAATGAGGGAGAATTAAATATCACCACAAAATGTATCAAATTTCTCCATAAGAAGAGAACTAGCATATCACCCGTGTTATGCATGGATTGTGTTTATAATTATCTATATATGTAAAATGTGATTTTTAAATTTTTTTTAAATGTCTTCTTTTTTTCCTTTTTTATATTATATTAAAATTTAATGTTTTGATAATATTCATATGTGTTAGACTTTTCAAAGAATTGAATGTCTTTTTTTTATATTATATTATATTAAAGTTTAATATTTTGATAATAATCATATGTGTTGGACTTTTCATGAAATTTTTTTTATGCTTGTTCTTAATACATTAAAGTGTTATTACGAGGGATAATAATCGTATGTGTTGGGACTTTTCAAGGAATTCATATGTGTTGGATTTTAAAGAATTTTGTTTATACTTGTTCTTAATGCATTAAAGTGTTATTATGAGGGTAAGACTTGGGAGTTGAGAGAAGTTAATAAATGCTAAGATTTTTTTTTTTAATCAAAAAATCAAGAAATTTAGATTTGGAGATTGGAGCTCCCACAAGGCTTGGGGTTTAATATTTTGATAATAAATCATATGTGTTAGACTTTTCAAAGAATTAAATATCTTTTTTTTATATTATATTATATTGAAGTTTAATATTGTGATAATAATCATATGTGTTGGACTTTTCATGAAATTTTTTTTATACTTGTTCTTAATGCATTAAAGTGTTATTATGAGAGATAATAATCATATGTGTTGGGACTTTTCAAGGAATTCATAATGCATTAAAGTGTTATTATGAGAGATAATAATCATATGTGTTGGGACTTTTCAAGGAATTCATATATGTTGGATTTTAAAGAATTTTGTTTATGCTTGTTCTTAATGCATTAAAGTGTTATTATGAGGGTAAGACTTGGGAGTTCGGAGAAGTTAATAAATGCTAAGATTTTTTTTTTAAAAAATAAAAAAATCAAGAAATTTAGATTGAGAGATTGGAACTCCCACAAGGCTTGGGGTTAAAAACCCATTTTTGCTTAATATATAGTATAGATTAGGGTAAACTACCGATAAGTCTTAATAGTTGGACTTAATTCCCATCAAGTCTTATTGAAAATAAATTTTGGTAAATTTGTCGCTAAAAATATTTTTTTTTGTGACAATTTTTTATATATGTCGCTAAAAATTAACAATTAGTGACTTTTTTTGCTATGATTTTTATAAATTGTGTCTAAAACTTACAATTAGTGACATTTTTTTATAATAAATTTTTCTCATAAGACTTATTAGACAATAAATTCACTTATTAAGACCTATACGTAAGTATCCCGAAGAATTAGACCCAAAACCTCATACCATAAAAAGTGTTAAACACCACTAAGTTCAATGCCCAATTCTTTTCTTTTTATTCAGTTTAATAACTAAATACTTTTCTTCTTTTTTTTAAAACTAAAATAAGTAAATGATTTAAATTTAAAACAAATAAAAATTTTAAAATTTAAATTGACAAAATTAAAAATTATAGTTTTTAATAAATTATAACTAACATTATTTTAAAATATAATCAAATACAACAACAAGTCCTAATCAATTTTATTTTAATAATTTGCTTGCTCCACCACCGTAATATCGTGTAACCTATGACTACAATAGTTTAAAACCAATACCAAAATTGATGATAAGTACATATGGTATGTATTACAAGTATTATAGCCTAATCTTTTTTAATATTGTGTTTGGATCATAAATTTAAGTTGAGATTTAAAGAGGAGATGAAAAAAAAAAAAAATTATATTTATATTTCATCCACAATTTTCCAACCACACATTCTTTTCTTCTTTTTTTTTTTCCAAATCATTGTTTAAATGCATTATCCAAACACAGTATAAGTGAGGTAGATAATTTGCTTCTAGCAATCCCACAAAGGACATAAAAAGCTTGCATCACCAATTTATCAAACTGACAATAAATTTATAAAAAAAAATGCTTACATAATATTCAGTAATTCCTGCAATCATCATCACTCATAAAAAATAAGAGAAAGATCTCCAGGAAGCATTTGAGATCATAATTTGCTACAGCGATAAACAAAGAAAAACAGGTAATGCTATGCCAATAAGTAGATTAGTTAAAAATTGCAGTTGTACAAAGACTCGTAAGAATACCAAATGCTAGAAAAGAGGGTTTAAAACACGAAGCTTTTTGTGACGGTTCAAAACCGGCCTTTTTTTTGCGATGGCAAACAAATATGTTGCGAATTTATTTATTTATATGTTGCGAATTTATTTATTTATTTTTTGTGATGGCAATTGACAGTCGCCAAAAAATGCAACAGATAAATACACTTTTTAGAGACGAATAACCCGAAACCGTCGCAAAAAGTAGTACTGTATTCGAGGAAACCCCCCTCTCCTCTCCTCTCCTATCACTCTCGCAGACCCTCACAATCTCTCTCTCGTATACCCTCACAGACTCTCTCTAGCAACGGCGGCGACTTCCTTTTGGTGACAACATCGGCGTCTCGCAGACCCTTTCAAGCTCCCTCTGACATCCAGGTATAGCTCTCTCTCTCTCTTTTCTCTCCTCTTTCTCTCTTCTTTCTCCTTTGTTTATCATTGTGGGTGCTTCGAATTTGTGACTTTTTTGGTATTGGGTTGAATTGATTCGGTTTGTTTGGATCGATTCAAAGATTGCTCATCCAATTTTCGTCATCTTTGCTTCAAAGCTTTAACCATCGTAAATCCAATCGAATTCTTTTCATATCTTCTTGTTGATTTCATTTCCCTTTGTTTTATTGACACACACACACACACACATATATATATATATATATATGTATATTGTTAAAAAATTCGTAATTGTGGGATTTGAGTCTATGTTGCTTCTAATTGTTGGATTTGGAACGTATTTGGTTGTGTTTTCAGCTTTTGTAATCTGCTTAATTTATTTATTTATTTATTTTTTTTTGAAAAACACAGAAAATTTGTTTTGGCTATTAACAAAAACTAATCTCAGGAAAATCTCCCCAAAATTATCCAATTTTTAGGAACAATAAAAAAGTTATTTTAAAATTTCAGAAACTAGGCTCAGAAATGAAAACTAATTTCAATTTCATTATTTTTTTTTTCGAAAATGCAAAAAACAAAAGCACAATAAAAAATTGCATATTTTTTTAATCTTTTGTTCTTGGGGTTGAAAAGGGTCTTTATATTACTTTATTTTTGGTTTTCTTTTTCTTGTAGCAATGTTACATAAGTATTTACTGGCAATATACCCCAAGTTTGATCTGTCTAACCCCGAATTTCGGGCAATTATGTTGTAGATCTGTATTTGCTTTTGTGGATGTTAAAAATGAAAACTAAATCCCTCCTGCCTTCGTGCGACCTTTGCTAAGGAAATGAGCAAGAGTGAGTGTTGGTGTGGTGAGGAATGAGTTTTCTAGATGGAATTTGAATTCTTGGCCACAATTACAAAGTGTGGCTGTCACACTCACACACCCCTGTAGTTGTAGCTTTCAGAAACTACATGCTAAAAGCATGGAGGATCAGATCAGATCATCCTATTTTCATCTGTTGCTATAAATTTCTGAGTTGTAGCTATTAGATTAATGTAGTTTTTTAGATTCTTCTTCCAACGTAGTTTCTTAAGCTATGCTAGAATTGTAAAACTAAACTGATATATTCTGATAAAGCATTCAGGCAAGATTCATAGATGTTGAAGATAATGACCGAGTGGTTTGGAACCTTGTTTGGGTATCAAGGCCCAAGACTAGATTCATAGATGTTAAAGGGTTTCAAAAAAAAATTTATCACTGTGTTATATTTTTCAGATTATATTTTTAAATTTTGGGTTAATTTTTTATCTGTATTATATATATATATATATATATATATAAAATGAAGTATTTGCAAACTGTATATGCTAGACATTGATGTTTCCTAAAAAATGAGTTGTTTTTATTTTTTTTCCCAAAACAGTTCTCCAAACAATTTTTACTTGTGTTTTTAAAAAAGGAAATTAGAAAAAAAATGAAAACACAACCAAACATGACAGCCATGAAACTTGAGTCCCTAACCTCAATGTTAAGAAAACAAACACATACCATTAGCTTATGTAATGCCTGTGGTCATTGACACATTGAACAACCCACCTTAATGTAGCTAACAGTTCATAATGTTTTTGACTTCAAGGTTGTTGCAAGAGATCCTATGGGTTTAGACTTATTTTTTGTGATTTGTTTGAACAGATGGAATAACCAAAATTTATGGATTTGCAAATCCAAGTGAGCTTGCAAAATTTGTTAATTCTCAGCAAAGAATTGATGTTTAAAGTTAATTTTGATGAAACTATTTTCAAAATGCAAAAAAACAGTACGTGTAGGTGTTATTGTTAGGGATCACAAAGGGAAGTTATTGCTAACTTGTCTAAGAAATTATTGAATCTTGTGGATGTTGACTGTGTGGAGTCTTTGACAGCATCCAAGTGGTAAGCTTTGCACGAATTTGAGTTTCAATGAAATTCAACTTGAATTAGATTCTTTGTCCTTTGTCAAAGGCATCCAATCTGAGAATGATTTGCTATTAGCTTGGGGCCATATAACCTACGAGGACAAAATTTCAAATGCTGCCAAAGGACTTCTGTTTTGCATACTTTGCAGCAACGGAATATGGGATATCTAGGGATTTAGAGAAACAAATACTTTGTTGTCATATTTGATTGTGCATGATGTTTCTAATTCAATTTGATTTCAATTTTTCCCTATCTCAAGTATTTGTAGGAACATCTTTGGTGTGCTTCAATGGCTATCAAGAAAAACTATGAATTTTATTTTCTTACTTTCTCACTCCTTTCTATCTCATTTGTTTTTATTTAAAATAGAAAGTATTTTTTGTAGCGATTCCGGTTTCGATCTTTCTTTCATGTTTTGCCACTTCGACTGGGCCGGTCGGGGGTTGAGCTGCCCGGTCAGCTCGCGGGGGCCCAAGGGGCAACGCCCCTTGGCGGGTCCTAGGGCAACGCCCTAGCGGGGTTGAGGGACAGCGCCCCCAGAACAAAAATGTAAAATGCATTAGAAGTTGCTTGTCCGCTCGAGCGGCTGTTTATGCGCTCGAGCGGAGAATGTTTAGTTTCAAAAGTTTGACATGTTTGCAAAAATACTAAGATAGTGTATTTGACGCTCGGGCGGGGCTTTTCCACGCTTGAGCCCACTCAAGTGAACCATGTATTATATCAGTTCGTGAATCTGATATTTCACATCACTTTCGTATATCTCTCTCTCTCTCTAAAAACATTTCCTCTCCCTTCTCTCTACATTTCCTACCAAAAACCTCACAAGATCTTTGATTTCTTCAAATCCTTTGGGATTTGGACCTAAGTTCTTCATCAAAGTTGGTTAGCTCCTCGAGGGCTTCGTTGTATGCGGTGATGATCGAGTTTGGACATCGTTGATTTTGGGGGTTCCATCTCATTTCTTCTTCAAAACTTGATGTAGGGATTTTCTTAGAGATATATATATATATATATATTTGCAAGATCTAGATGATTTTCGAAATCATCCTTCGACAGCTTTGAAAATCGATTATTAATTCAAGAAGTTGAGCGATTTTGAAAGTGGCTTTGTCTCTTGTTCTTTTAAAATGATTTTATATGTTTTGATCTTCGTTGATTGAAGAAAAGATGATTTTGAAAAGTTTTTTTTCAAAAGATTTGAGTTGTATAGTTTTGGTGAGAAAACCTAGAATTTTGGGATTTTTTTAAAAGAGACTGAAAATCCATGAATGATATTGTTATATTTATTTTGTGTCAAAATAAATGGATGTTTGGAAAATTTCTTATTTATATTTATATAAATGATGAATTTCAGTGAATATGAGAATTATTGTTCATTTTGAAAATTATTGTTCAAAACGTTGAAATAGTCTTGAAATGACTAATTGTTGAGGATATACTTGAGAAGAGGGAATTGTGTTATTCTTTGGATGATGAATTGGAATAAAAATATTTATAGTCATCTTGTGTTATTGGTATATCAATTCATTTAATTACATTAAATTTTGAAAGTTGATTTGAAAACTTGCATTGAGAAAAGAATGTTGAGAAACAAGTTTCCATTAATTGGTTTTGGGGTAAATACGGTGGTAAGTCTTGACAGGTGGTGTAGGTGAAATTGAATAGGTGTCGAGTCTTCTAGTTAATACTGGTAAAAATGACAGATTCTAGGTGTCAAGCCTTTTAGTCAATGCTGGTAAAAATGACAAATTGGTAGTACTTATATAGTCTACTTGCAGACACCGACCTAGGGATTACCAGAGTTGTATTTACCGCCCCTTGAATTAAATTGATAAATTTTGAACAATTGAAATTGCATGACATCATTGAGCATGATGGTTTTCAAAAGATGAAAAATGTGATTTATCTTCAAAAAGGACATAGCATGGCATGTGCATTTCATCTCTTAAGACTTGTATAAAATGTATATACTTTGTTAAGAATTTCCTGCTGGGTTTTATGCTCACCCTACCTGATTTTTGTGCAGGAATGGATGTGGTGATTCCGCCTAACTAAATGCTAGAAAATATGTGTATTGAGAGTCCAAAACTCTCATTCTGCTGTGACTCTGCCTGTAAGCCAAGGGCTGCATTTTTGTGCGTTTGAATAACCATTTTGTGTAACTAGGCTTTAGCCTTGGAAACTTGTAAACCCTTGGCGGTATTTATTTGTTTAATTACTTCTTATTAGTCTAATGTATTATCGCATGAGGAATTATTTACATTATGAAATGCAAGTGTGGGATTGTATAATTGGCTTTCCTTTAAAAGGGCCATGATTATTGTATTGTCATTTGAGTATGAAAATTGGGGCATTACAACTTGGTATTAGAGCTACTGGTTTTGAATACTTGGAGCTCGTCGGAAGTGGTTGTTAACCACAATGGATTCATTTAGCATGTTTAGGAAGTGTTATGCATCTTGTGACTATGTGATAACATGCTTCTGTGACTAAATAGGCATGAGATTGGACTTTTGGGATGCTGTTTGCGCCTGTTAAATTCTTTGAGGTCTTATTAAAAGGGTACTTGATCAATACTCATTCTATTAAGAATTCTTGGTTTTTCGTGGGACGAATCTCATCATAGGAGTATAATCCGTATGTGTTTACATGACTAAGTGCTTATGTGAAGTGAAATTGAATTGTGTATATGGTAATGAAATATATGGAATTGTTGTACGTGTGAGTCAAGTTATAAGCGCATATGAGTTAATGCGCTAAATTATTTCTCTTGTGTCCTTTATTAGGATGTCAGGAAGGGGTCAAGTATATGAGTTAATGCGCTAAATTATTTCTCTTGTGTCCTTTATTAGGATGTCAGGAAGGGGTCAAGTCCGTGGTGGTAGAGGCGGGAGGCGTGGTAAGGCTCGCCGAGGTGTGCATGACGTACCGGTCCATAGGGTTCGAGTGCAAGAAGAAGGGTTCGGCCAAGCTAATATGGTCGAGCAAGCAGGCCAAGCTAATGTGGCCGAGCAGGTGGGACAAGCGGGTCAAACGGCAAGGGGGGCCCTAGCTTGAGAAATGACGGCGACCTTGAGGGAGTCTATGAACTTGTTGAGGGCGGAGAATCAAGCCCGAGAGAACACCGTGGAGTCAAGGACGAGTTTCCTTACTAGAGAGTTTTTACAGGCCAAACCAGATGAATTTCATGATGGCCCCGAGCCCAAGAAAGCAGATGAGTGGCTCGAACAAACTGTGAAGATGTTTGAGAAGCTTCATATAGATGATAACGAGTTACTACCTAACAGGGGATGCGGGTCAGTGGTGGAAGTATGCCAAGGGTAGGGTGGAGCCATCATGGGAAGCCTTTGTGGTTGCTTTCCAAGATAAGTATTTACCTCCCGCTGCTAAGGAGAGATTGAGGCAAGAGTTCAAAGGCCTCAAATAACTCGACATGACTGTGGCCGAGTTCGAGGCAGTCTTCTTTAGTTTATCTAGGTTTGCACCAGAGTTAGTGGCAACAGAATAGCGTCGTTGCATTGAATTCGAGAAAAAGTTGAAAACCAAAATTTTCTTTAAGATTGTTGGGAACATGATTCGGAACTATGACCGTCTTGTAGAGTCGGTGGCATACGTTGAGATTTCCGCACAAGCCGAGGAGGAGAGGCGTTGGAGTTCGAGGCCTAGGGGCCAAGAGTCTCAAGGAGACTATAGGTAGAATAAGAAGAGCAGGGGTACTTTTTAATTCCGGCCACAACCACAGCAGTCAAAATCCACTTTTCCTTTTCCTAGTGTGGTTCCGGGAAAAAGGGCATCTAGTGGCTTCACGTGTTTCAAGTGTGGCCAGCTGGGCCGCAAAGCCTTTTCGTGCCCACAGAAGGGTGGAGGATAGTTGATGTTGCCACCACCACCTAACCAATCTCAGAGTCAGTCTCAGTCTCAGAATGCAGGCCAGGAATTTAATTGTTATCAGTGTGGTCAGCCGGGGCATATGAAGAGAACTTGCCCTCAGTTGGGAGGCGCATCTGGGTTGAAGCAGACTCAGAGCCACCAGCAGGCTCATTCAGCTCAGGCTTCACGAGCTAATCAGGGAGCCACTTCAGCTCAGTCGATACAACAGGTCTGTGCTCCGAGAGGGGGACAAGTTAATCAGGGACCACAGGGGCGCATGTATGCTGTTACCGTGCCAGAGTTTCCAGAATCCTTAGTTGTGAGAGGTATTTTTGTTGTGTGTAATTCTTTGGCTAATGTATTGATAGACACGGGTGCATCTCATTCATTTATATCTACTACATTTGTTTCTGCATTGAGGTTAGAGGTAGCACAGTTAGTGCCTCTACTCAGAGTAGAGTCACATGTTGGGGATACAGTTGATTTAGACCGGGATTGTCGTGATTGTGAAATAGAAGTTGCCGGACATCGACTTTCGTTTGCTTTTGTGTTGCTAGATATGTTGAGTTTTGATGCCATTTTAGGCATGGATTGGTTGTGTTCTTATCAAGCTATGATTGATTGTTACCGTCAGAGGGTTACAGTGTGCACTTCGGGTGGTGATCGTTTCTATTTTCTGGGGAACCGAGTTAATGGAGCCTTGTCGCCAGTTGTTGACCCTCGTAGTAGGGGCAAGCTTAGTGGCCTTCTTGCAACTCTCTTGGATAGTGAGAGTAACGGGGCTCATGTTGAGTTACCAAGGGTAGTTTGTGAATACCCGGATGTCTTTCCAGAAGATCTTACTAGTTTACCACCTCACCAGGAGATCGAGTTCTCCATTGAATTAGTGCCTAGCATGATACTAATTTCCATGTCACCGTATAGATTTGCACCAGCCGAATTGCATGAGTTGAAGATTCAACTCCAAGAACTTTTAGACAAGGGCTTCATTCGCCCTAGTACATCGCCTTGGGGAGCGCTGGCTCTCTTTCCAAAGAAAAAGGATGGGTCATTGCGGTTGTATATTGATTACCGCAAGTTGAATAGAGTTACAGTTAAGAACAAGTATCATCTACTCAGAATAGATGATTTGTTTAACCAACTTAGAGGGTCTCGTTGCTGCTCAAAAATAGATTTAAGGTTGGGGTACAATCAGTTGGGAGTCCGGGTGGAGGACATTCAGAAAACAGCCTTTTATACGCGTTATGGCCACTATGAATTCCTTGTAATGGCTTTTGGGTTAACCAATGCGCCTGCTTCCTTTATGGATTTGATGAATAGAATTTTCCGGGAATACTTGGTCCTTTTTGTGGTTGTCTTTGTGGACAGCATCTTAATTTATTCAACCTCCGAGGAGGAACATGAGGCTCACTCACGGGTAGTGCTTGAATTGCTTAAGGAGCACCGTTTGTATGCCAAATTTGATAAGTCCGAGTTTTGGCTCACCGAGATGAAATTTTTGGGGCACGTAGTGTCGAGTGAAGGAGTGACTGTAGACTCTTCAAAGATAGACGCGGTACAGGATTGGGAACAACCCAAGAATGTTTTTGAGATCCGGAGTTTCTTGGGGTTAGTAGGGTACTATCGCCGTTTTGTAAGGGACTTCTCTAGACTAGCTACACCTTTGACTAAGCTGACTAGGAAGGGTGTCAAGTTTGTGTGGAGTGAGGCTTGTGAAAAGTCTTTCTAAGAACTTATGACTAGATTGACTACAGCACCAGTCTTGATAATTCTGGAAAGGGGTTTGGATTACATTGTCTATTGTGATGCGTCTAGGGATGGACTTGGTTGTGTCTTGATGTAAGAGGGAAAAGTTGTGGCCTACGGTTCACGACAATTGAAAACTCATGAGAAGAATTACCCCACCCATGATTTAGATATGGCAGCGGTAATTTTTGTCTTGAAAATTTGGAGGCATTACTTGTATGGTGAGAAGTTTGAGGTTTTCTCTGATCATAAGAGTCTAAAGTATTTGTTTTCTCAAAAAGACTTGAATTTATGACAACGGAGGTGGATGGAATTTATAGAGGGTTATGACTTTGAGTTACACTATCATCCAGGGAAGGCCAATGTGGTGGCCAATGTGGTGGCCAATGCTTTGAGTTGAAAATCTGTGAGTAGTTTGGCAAGTGTGGCCATTCGGAAATGGGATATGCTAGATGTTATTGGCAAGTTTGATTTGCACTTGGGTGAGTTCGGAGAGAGTGCTACCTTGTTTACTTTGAATGCTCAACCTACCTTGGTTAGTAAGGTTAGAGAGGCACAACGAGGAGATCATGATGTGGAATCAATCCGTGTTAAGATTTTTAATGGGAAGGAAGAGAAAGGTTTGAACGTTCACTCGGATTTGAGTGTACGTTACTTAGACCGTTTGTTTGTACTAGAATCTTGTAGAGAGGAAGTACTTCGGGAGTTCCATCACTCACGCCTTGCGGTACACCCGGTAGGCACAAAAATGTATCATGATCTTAGTCGTCAGTTTTGGTGGAGGGGTATGCAATGGGATGTTGCTTTATTTGTATCGAAGTGCCTTACTTGTCAACAAGTGAAGGCCGAACACCAAAGACCAGCGGGTTTGTTACAACCCTTACCAATAGCCGAGTGGAAATGGGAGCGTGTTACAATGGATTTTGTAGTTGAGCTTCCTAGAACACAACAAGGGAATGACGCTGTTTAGGTGATTATTGATAGGTTGACTAAGTCTACCCATTTCATTCCGATGTGCACCAGCGACTCAGTTGAACGCTTGGCAGAGTTGTACATTAGAGAGATAGTTCGACTTCATGGAGTACCTATGACTATTGTGTTGGATAGGGATCCTCGTTTTACTGCCGGGTCAAAGCCTTCAAGGGGCATTGGGAACTAAGTTAACTCTTAGCACTGCTTATCATCCTCAAACCGATGGACAGTCGGAACGTACCATTCAAATTTTGGAGGACATGCTTAGAGCTTGTGTCCTTGATTTTAATGGGCCTTGGGAAAGACGCTTACCATTGATTGAGTTTTCTTACAACAATAGTTACCAAGCTAGTATTGGGATGGCACCATTTGAGGCCTTATATGGCCGACCTTGTAGATCACCGGTTTGTTGGGCCAAAGTGGGTGATGCATCGTTACTGGGTCCATAAATTATTAGAGAGACAACCGAGAAAGTTGTTCTCATTCGGAGGAGGCTAGCTACGGCCCAAAGCTGACAAAAGAGTTATGCCGATAAGAGGAGACAACTTTTATCTTTTGAAGTTGGTGACCATATGTTTCCAAAAATCTCATCACTGCGGGGTTTGATGAGATTTGGTAAGAGTGGTAAATTATCTCCAAGGTTCATTGGCCTTTTGAGATCTTAGAGCGAATTTGGGGAGTGGCATACTCGTTAGCTTTACCGCCAC